TTTAAATTTTTTTGCTCTTTAACTTCCAGCACTTTAACTCTCCATCTGAGTAATGCCTGGCTGCGGGCAGGGAATCGGGAATTTGGCAGGAGAAATAAAGGGCAGAGTTCTCCACTGGAAAGCAACCCAGTCGTCCTGTTGTGGACACAGGTGCGTCACCGTCCTCATCACCATCGTGTGCTCTGCTAATATCTGTGAGTGTTTGTGTCAACTCATCTAGGCTGTCAAGGACTCCATTTTACACATAAGGAAGCCGAGGCATAGCCAGTCTTTAATAACTAGCTCAAGAAGGGAATAAAACAATGTGAATATCGACGAGAAGCAGGAGTTTCTATTTTAAAAACAATTGCAAGATACACACACATCCTTCACACGAGGCGTATTTTCATATTTGGAGTCGTGAAGTTTGCTGACCCTGGAAGATAGAGAGTTCCTTCCTCAACAGAGACAAGCATTTGGCCTTCCCAAAACATTGATGATTAGCTGGGCTAATTCCTAAAATCCTCAGGGATGGGTTATGAAACATTCTGTACCTCCTGGCTCAAAACTACCTTTGCAGAGACCCGGGCCTTTAAGAGTTACAACAGGGGAGATTATTCCTGTTCTAAGTGGACAGGTATATAGGAGCTGAGGACAGAATTGAACCCTAATGCTAGTTCCTAGCTCAGGCACACACCAGCTAGTGGCACTTAAATGTTAGTGTGTGTTAAATCAACTAGGGGGCTTCTCACCAATGCTGATGCCCGGACCCATCCCCAGACTCTGCATCTGATGCTTAAAGGTGGGGGCTCTGGGATGGCACCATTGTAAACATAACCCAGGGGATGTGATGGACCCACTTAGGAAAGCAATCCCTTAGCTCCACAGTAATGAGACGGGGGCTGTGTTTGTGTTTATGGGAAGCCATTTTCAAAGCGACAAAGTTTGATGTGATGGCGTGAGGTCAAGTACAATATCTCTTGATGAAATAACTTTCCTTAAAAGTTAAGGTTTTTCCTTTCCTACTCACTGAGCATTTTTCTGTATGTAACTTTTAGTTGTTAAAAAATATATGCCCCGGCTCGGCGCCTATAGCTCAACCGGCTAAGGCGCCAGCCACGTACACCTAAGGTGGCAGGTTCGAATCCCCAGCCCGGACCTGCCAAACAACAATGACGGCTGCAACCAAAAAATAGCCGGGCGTTGTGGCGGGTGCCTGTGGTCCCAGCTACTTGGGAGGCAGAGGCAGGAGACTCGCTTGAGCCCAGGAGTTGGAGGTTGCTGTGAGCTGTAATGCCATAGCACTCTACCCAGGGGGACAGCTTGAGGCTCTGTCTCAAAAAAAAAAAAAAAAAAAAAAAAAAAAAATATATATATGCCCCATACTTGGTTTTTGAACTTAGGAGTTGTCGCCTTGCCTTCTTGTTTTGAGACTTCTTTACTTTGGGGCCTTGGCTGTGTAGCAAAAAGATCATTTGTCAGGGGCAAATTTCTGCCTCCTGGCTCCAGAGAGGGCCTCCCACATGGTTGCTAGAATCTTGGGACCAGATACCTGCAGCATTTCCACAGCCCCACACCTCCTCCGAAACTTCAAAGTAGTTGGATATTACATAATGGAATTGCAAGCCAAAATCTTAGGAACAGGAGGAAGAAGTCTTCATACTGTGTCTTTTCTAGGTCTGATTTCTACACTAAATGATGTTTTTGTAGCACGGTCTAACCTTAGCCCGGAACTTGGTAGACACCAGAGGCCAGGCAAGGTGTCATGTCTGCATTGTCTCATTCAGTCCTCGCAACACCAGGAGTTAAGTATGATTATTATTTCCATTTTAAGAATGAAGAAGAGATTAAACTTGTCCACCTCGTAAGAGGCACAGCTGGAACTTGAACACAGGTTTTCTGAGGCCAAAGCCCTATGATGACCCCTATGCTATCCTGTTTATATCGCATACATGAGTATGTTGGTCTTACTTTATACACACACAACTGTATTACCAATACCCATGTGTATTCACCGATTTAGAGGTACATTTACATTATGTATAAACATGTATGTTACTAATATACAAGTACGTATTGCTAAGTGTCATTGTGGTCAGTGTCATACACTAGTGAGGTCTCATTCTTCAGAGAACCCACCTCTACAAGGAACCCTTTCTTACCCCACCCAGGTACCAAATAAACTTAGGGTACAGCTGCAGTGAGCTGGATCAGGGTGCATCTCATTTCATGGTGCGCTCATGTCCTCACTGCAACAGACCAGGTGTCCTGAATGGCTGCCCCCACGTTGCAGAGGCCGCTGTGTCATTCCTTTGCAGTTCCCCACCAGACTGCATCGCCTGAGGGTCCTCAAGGAACTTCTGCTCCTGCCCTACCTTCCCATTTGCACGACTTAGGAAGCAAGGAGATAGCTTGGGTGGGGGCTTGAACACAACCTTTCCTTTCCAGAGTTAAAGGAGAGATAAAGTCAAAATAGCCCTAAGAAATTTGACCAGAGTCACACTAGGGAACCTGACCTCTGCCTGGCTTACTGGGTCAAAGGATACTATGCATTTCTCTCACCCTGCCCTGAGCCCCAGTTAACTGAAACAAGGCAGGTGTAATGAGCTCCCCCTAGAAGGGGTCAACAGCCACGCGCTACTGTGGGGGGAGTGTTGGCAGAGTTGCTGAGCTGCTGTTTGGGTGGGACTGAAGGTACCATGGTGCTTCACTGCGGCCCAGAGGGACCACACCTGTAGAACACCTGTAGATCTGGCCAGGTGCCATGGAAGGGAAAGAAACAACACCAAGGAAAAAGGAAGGATCATAATGCAATTAATCTGGAACTGGTCTAGATCAGAGGTTTTCACACCTAGCTCATTGCAGAATACGCTGAGGAGCTTGTTAAAAATACAGATTCCTGGTCCCCACTCCATTCCCCTCCTCCAGCTCCCGTTCAGCAGACCCAGAATCTCTGAGGTTGAGGTTGGAGAATATGCATTTAAACAACTGCTTCTGTAATTTTCGTATTCTCCCTCCCAGCTAAGTCAGTTTTAGTAATATAATCTTTTTTTTTTTTTTTTTTTTTGAGACAGATCCTCAAGCTGTCCCCCTGGGTAGAGTGCCGTGGCATTACAGCTCACAGCAACCTCCAACTCCTGGGCTCAAGCGAGTCTCCTGCCTCCGCCTCCCAAGTAGCTGGGACCACAGGCGCCCGCCACAGCGCCGGCCATTTTTTGGTTGCAGCCATCATTGTTGTTTGGTGGGTCCGGGCTGGGGATTTGAACCCTCCACCTTAGGTGTACATGGCTGGCGCCTTAGCCGGTTGAGCCACAGGCACCGAGCCTTAGTAATATAATCTTAAAGGCCAGGTCAGGGTATGAAATTATCCAAAGTTACTCAGCCAGGTCTGAATACAGATTTTTCTAGTTCAGTAGTCTATCCTTTGGCAAGGATAGGGTCATTTTAAAAATCTGAGTTCATTTGAAGAGATATAGATTATATTATATTGTTTGTTGCACTGATTTCCATTCTTTTCTTTATATGAGGCAGGATCAGTAACAGCAAACTCCATCCCGTTGAAAAATCATGTAAAACAGAGTAGATTACTTACTTGGCCCTTCACCAGAATTTCTTAGAGGGTGGGCCTTGGCGCTCTGCTCAGAGTTGCCTCGGGACAATGCATTTCCAAGGGGCAGCACCGTATCTCTGTGGGTAACAGTCCTATGCATTTTGCTTTTAAATTTCTGATGAACACTGAATACTTTTCGAAATATGTACCATATAATTTGCCATTTGAACCATTTAAAAGTGGTTCAATCATTCAATGCCATTTAGTGGATTCATACTGTGTCAGCATCACCTCTCATTTCAAAATATTTTCATTCATCCCTAAGGAAACCTATTAAGCATTCACTCCACCTCCTGCCCCAGTTGCTGGCAACCAGCTCTATGGGTTTGTCTGTCCTGAATTTCTCCTATGAATTGAATCATATCACATGTGGCCTTTTGTGTCTGGCTCAGCAATTCCATGCCTCAGTATATACCCCAGAGAACTGGAAACAAGTGTTCAGACAAAAACTTGTATGTAAACATTCATAGAAGCACTACTCACAATAGCCAAAAGGTGGGAAAAATCCAATGCCCATCAACTGATGAATAGAAAAACAAACTGTGTCATATCCATATAGTGGAATATTATTCAGTCATAAAAAAGATGGAGTATGGATGAACTTCCATACAAAGTATCTTAAATGAAAGAAATCACATTGTATGATTCCACTTGTAGAAATTATCCTATACATTTTAACATTTAGCCTCATAACCCAAGATACTGTTAGAATGTAGCAGTTTTCCAAACCAACCAACCAACAATTCTGGATGGTGCCCCTAGCAATCCTGTTGTCTCTATCACTGTAAATAACCTAGATCTTCTATGACATAGTTGTATGGGGGGGAGGTGCTGGGGTATTAGAAATTATACTCAAAGTAGAGTCATTAAAGTTATATTTAGGTAAATAATATGCAAATAAAATATAAAATGACTTGTGTTATGCTAAAGTTGAGTAATATTAGTCTAGCCCAGGGTTGGGAAGGGAAGAAGCTTACCCCAAATCATCAGAATTCTGCAATATGTTTTTTCCTTAACCAAGAGGTCATAATTTATTTTGGATTATACTATCACAGTCAGCAAGATACCTCTTAATTGTTTTGTTCTGTATGTATTTGGAAGTTAAACTCATCATCTAAGTTGGTTTCATGCAAAGAGACCAATGGGAACTCACAGTTTCACCTTCTCCAACAGCATCTTACTGTGATTAGCCTAAAACTGACAGGGAATTGGCAGTTCTTCAGTTTCCTTCCCCTTAAAATGCTAATGTGCCTTGACAGTGTAGAGATCAGTGTCTCCACAAATCTCAGATTTTCCCTGTTCTTTATGAAGCTCATTCTGGAGCCATCTCAGTGGCTGCACTTGAAGTAAGTGGGCTGCAGAGAAGAAGAACACCCTGGGGCTTCAGGGACCAAAAGGGCTTCTTGCTTACCGCTTCCATCAGGCCCTTCACCGTCGGCGACTTCAACATCAGAGCGTCAAACACGTCATCCGTCTCCTTCCTCACGTACAGCAGAACTGGAAGGGAGGGAGAGCTGCGTGAGGGAGGGCCCACAGCTCTGCAGGTGCCCAGGGACAGGCTCTGTCACACAGGTGTCCCAGGGAGGTGCCACACAACATCCCACACAGGTGATGGAGACACCTCCATAGACAACCGTGGCAAGGGACTGGTGAGGAGCGATTCAATGAGGTAAACTGACAATTGGGTGACACCTATCAGCTGTGAGGTGCTTTTCATGTTTACATTTGAACTTTTCAAGGTGGGTACATGATCTCTTTATGACAACTCTTTCTGCAACCTCTTTATACTATTTATTTGTTCATTCAGTAAATGCTACTGGATGCCGACTTGGGCCCGTGGGCCGTGTGTGCTTGGAGCTGGGGTTGCAGCAGTGAGTTAGGTCATTGCCCCTGACCTTACGGAGCTGCCGCCCACAGAGAGAGGCGGGCCTTCCCCAAACAAGCAGATGACTAGACAGAGTTATGAAGGAACCGACATAAGACAGTTCTTACTAGTGCCTGGCCTTGCCTAGGCAGGGGAGGTGTGGAGGTGAAATGCTCTGGGAAGGTACCCTCAAAGGAGGGATCTGAGTTCCGAGGGGTGTGTGGGCATGAGGGCAGGTGACAGGTGGGATGGAGGGGGGAGAGAGAGAGAGAACAGAGAGAGCAAACTCCTGGGGCGACAAGCAGCAGGTGCACAGGCCCCGGGCACTGACTGAGGCAAAAGGAGGAAAAGCCGTAGGGTGCAGGGTCCCAGTCTGGTCTGACCCCAGAGTTCAGTCCCTGCTGTGAGCTCTGGGCACTCCTTCTCCAAGCCTATCCTCCTCTGTGAAGCAGGAATATAATACATGTGTCTGCCTCCTGGACTACCGTGGGGGTTAAATGTGGTAACAGCCACATGGTATGCTTAAGCTCGAGCCCACACGCAGCAAGCACCTGTATCTTCAAATGGCGGATGAAGCAGCTGAAGTTCTAGTACCATCAGGGCTTTGCTACTAATTTCTATGCAAAACCACCTTCTGAGTTTGAGAATGTACAGAACATGAGAGAGGGTAGGGACCCCGGCCATCATTAGAGACCAACATGCTGAGGTTCAGAGAGGCTGAAACACTCCCCCGGGGGTCCCACAGACTGACAGCTGCTGGCTGCTGGCCCTTCTGCTGGACAGTGGCCTCCCTGCCTGTCCTCATCCTTACAGCAGCTGCATTACAGGTCAGGTCCCAGAAACAACTTGGACTTGCCACTCAGATGCAACCCTCAGGCCCACTGAATGACTGCCCTTCCCTGCTCCCTTCTGCCAGCGATGTGACTTCTGCTGCTTCCTTCAGAGGGAAGGAAGAGGATTGAGACAGAAGCCCCACGCATCTGGCCCTCTAAGAAAATGCACAGATCAAAAGCCCGGTCTGGATCCCAACAACAGGCAGATATCAACTGAGCTACAATCACCATCAACCGGAAGAACAGAGTCGAAGCCAGAAAATGAAATCAGCTCTACCCAAACTCCCAGCCCTTCCCCTCCTCCTGGTCCCCTAGGACTTCATTAAAGCTGCTTGCTTGGCAAGGGCCACGGCTACATGGGCACACATGGCTCCTGCTCACAATTCTTTTCTGCCGCTGGAGTGTGTTCAGTTGGTATATGAAGAAAAGAAAGAAAAATCTTTTTTTTTTTGAGACAGAGCCTCAAGCTGTCCCCCTGGGTAGAGTGCCGTGGCATTACAGCTCACAGCAACCTCCAACTCCTGGGCTCAAGCGAGTCTCCTGCCTCAGCCTCCCAAGTAGCTGGGACCACAGGTGCCCGCCACAACGCCCGGCTATTTTTTGGTTGCAGCCGTCATTGTTGTTTGGCGGGTCCGAGCTGGGGATTCGAACCCGCCACCTTAGGTGTACGTGGCTGGCGCCTTAGCCGGTTGAGCTATAGGCGCCGACCAGAAAAATCTTTAAGTATTGCAGAGTTTCTTCTTTTAGCCAAATATAAAAGTAAAGTACCAATTAAATAAATAGATTGAACGTGTCTCCAAAGATTTCCAAATTTAGTTCTGGAAGGAACATTTTATAGCCTGCATTTCAGCTAAACCGAGCTAATGACATAACGGCTATTATCAAGGACTCGATGTGAAGGTACAAGAAAACATAATTAGAATATAGGACCTCAAATTACATCCAGATAAGGAAAATTAAAGTCAAGGAAAACATAACCATCAGCGGCTGCTACAAATGAACATTCTATAACATCTCCAGCTGGCTGACCTGAAGGAGACCCCCAAACCGTATTCTATTAAAATGAGGACTGCTGGTACCGGATTTAAGAATCTCTTATTTTGAAATCATTGCCTTTAAAATATCATGGCTGCTATACTCACTTTAGGTGTGGCTAGAAAGCATTAAAGGGGGGGGGGGGGTGTCCCATGGCCTGTGGGGAAAATGCCAGGCAGGGAAGCCCCACTGTTCTCCTGCTGAGCCTGTTGACAGCCACAGGCCGGGCGAGCTGGGCTCATGGCACACCCCATGGCCAGCCCCAGGAGCAGGCTTTCATTAACTCTGCATCTGGGGTGGCGTCTGTGGCTCAGTGAGTAGGGCGCCAGTCCCATATACCGAGGGTGGTGGGTTCAAACCTAGCCCTGGCCAATAATGCAAAAAAATTAATTAATTAATTAATTAATTAAAAAAAAAACTCTGCATCTGGGGCACAGCAATTGCAATACTCACTCTGCCATGATAGCAAGAACAACTGTCATGCACCCAGACATTGCACAGCCAAACGCAGTCAGCTGCTCAGGGGCGCCCTCACATGGCTGCCACTGGCCACCCTGACAAATGGCTACCAAGGTAAAACAACCAACAGTGATAATTATGATTGTTCTCCTTGGGCAACTTCTAACAAATAAACAAGAAGACAAGTTACTGGCCCGGATTCAGTATGTTTCCTCAAAGATCAGCTCCAAGCAAGGGGCTCAGTAACCCCACTGTTCTTTTCCTAGGACAAGTCATTCCTGGGGCATTTTCCCTATGGCTGGTAGGTCCCAGAGCCCTCATGAGTCTTTATGATTTCGATGTTTCCAAGGTGACAGCCTGTTTTTAATCACAGCCAAATACACCTTCCAGTGGCAAATTTTGTGCTGGCTTCACAGTCTCAAAATAATCTGACTAACTACCAGGCACTAACTAAGGAGGGGAGCCGTGTCCTGAGCTCCAGGTAACTGCCCTAACGCTAAAGCATAGGAAAGGCACCGAGGTGTGGGGCTCAAATGCACCCGAAATTCAACAGGTGAGCCTGCATAATCAGAAAAAGTTTTAAAAGTTTAAATGTTGCTAATGTTACATTTGTGCATGTATGTTCTCTCCATTCTGAAAGACTATTTATTCATGATAATGAGGATATAATTCAACTAATAGAGGCCTAATAATAAAACCATCCTCATGGCACTCATGGTGCACTAGGCTCTTGCACGAAGTGCCTTCTTGCATGTTAACTCATCAACCCCCGCAGCAACTCGGGAGCAGGGCCTCCCACCACCCCCACTTTACAGGTGAGGGCTGTGAGGAGCAGATGGGGTAGCTGTGGCAGGTTGCAGAGAGGCTGCTCAGACCATTATGCAAATCCCATTTTAACAAATAAGGGAAAAAAGCTTCTCAATAACAAAGACAGAAGCTGTGTAGACAATGGGCATATTTAACCCAGTGAGCTGATTCTTTGAAAAACCAATACTGTGTAAGTCTAAAGTCTCTGGAAGCCTCGGGGATGGCTGCAACCAAAATACAGTTTTTGCACTTACTCCGGGACGGACAATGGATTAGGTATGGCCTGGACACCCTGGGCTAGACATCAGCATGCCTACTTTGTTTCTAACCCTCTTGGTGAAGTGGGAAAAGACCCTTGACTGAGAGAAAATGAGTAAGTGGTGATGTCACGGCAACACGAGACTCATTTATTTGTGTGAGATGAATCGTTTGCATCTGTTGAATGAGTCTGGATGGCTGGTTCGTAGGCTGTGTGATTGTCACAAACACAACTAGTCTCTGAACCTTGCATCTTGCTGCTGGATGAGTCAGTGTATTCATTACATTTCTCCCAAGGCAAAGGAAGGAACCCCAGGGAGAATAAACATTTACTCAAGGTGTTTACAAGGACAGGATATAGAGCAAAGGAGAAGGCTGAGGACCTCTTGTGTGCATAAAAAGTCTCCAGGCTGGCAGGGAGCCACAGGGGCCTGGCAGGGGGCTTGGAGCCCACAAGCTCTTCTTGGTGAGATGCCCCATCCCCGCTGGGCGGGTCTGTAAGGGACACAACACCTCAGTGATGTGCCCAACAGGAGACATACCTCGCTTCATCACTTCTTCTTTAATCTGCTTAGAAGGTGCTGGACCAAACTCCTCTTCCATGGGCCTGAACATCCTCTTAACAAGGACACTGCTGGTAGAAGATGGGCAGAAATTGTTAGAGAAAGCTGGGCAAGGTGTCAAAACACAAGTTCATGTACACGTCAGTTTCTATCCTTTCCCTTCACTTATGCCATCCCTGGCTGTCTTCAGCCAGATCTACTCACACCCTCCTTCTTCCCCTTGCAAGTCAGCCCTGTCAGAGGCAGAACACACACACCAGTATCTTTAGGGCAGGGTTCTCAACCTTCCTAATGCTGCAAGGCTTTAATACAGTTCCTGTGGGTTGCGACCCACAGGTTGAGAACCGCTGCTTTAGGAGATGGACCTATCACAAACCCTCTGTTGTTGAATATGGACCACAAAGGTGAGACTTCAGGTCAGAGCCAGTGGGAGGTGGGTCTCTGGTGTCTGTGTGGCTTCTGAATCATATCAGCCCTTCCCACCCAGCTGAGGCCTGAGTGACCTGTCCCTTTTTGGCAGCCCCCTTAGGGCACAGCAGTGGCTCGTAGAAAGGACATGGGCCCCCCTCACTGGTTCAGTTACTTTAGTACGAGGCATCCTGCTGCCCTGTGGCTCTGCCTCTTTGTCTGCCAGGAGTGGATGAGACACAGGCCCTGGATGCCAAGATCTTCCCTCCTCCTTCGATGAAGTGTTTAGTCCCCCTTCCCAGAAGACCATGGTGCTGAGGCCCTGCACATCCCCAAGTTGGCCAGTTCTGATGGCTCTGAACTTCCACCCAAACTCCCTGTCCCCTTCAGGCACCCTGCAGAAGGGTAGGATTGTTTGAAAGAAAAAGAAATTGGAAGGACAGAAGTCACTGATACCAAGAAAATGCTGCTGAGCGGAATCTTGCTATTCTTCAAACCTCAAAGAAATGGATACAGAGTTTTAGAAATTTTTACTCTTTTTGGGATTCCTAGGACATGGTGCTGAAAGACACAATCCCAAGCAGCATGATCCTGAATAATCCTAACATATTTCCAGGCTTTTGATCTTTCAGGATTTTCAACATTTGGGATTATGGCAATCAAGATTATGTCTTGCAAGATTATGGTTCACCACAGTGGGACCAGGAGTGTAAACCAATGCCAGATAGACAGTTCAGCAGAACAGTTAAGACAGGGACTCTGGGGCCAGACTACCTTGGTTTAAATCCCTGCCTTACAATTTACTGGCTATAGGAAACTTGGGAAGTTCCTCAACCTCCCTGGTCCCCAGTCTTCTTATCTTTAAAAGGAGGCTGCTGAGAGAATCAAGTGACTCTCAGATGTAAATTACTCACAAGGTCCCCGATATACTGTTAGCACCCTTGAAGTGTTAGAATTGAAGATGATGCTGATGCTGATTACAAGTTGGAGAGCTCTGAGGAAGAGAGACCTGGAGAAGAGTAAATGAGGCCAACAGCTTGAGAGAGGTCAGAGTTTCCATTTACCACCAGACAGCAAATAGTCCAAACCGAGGACTGACGCTGGTAAAGCTCCCAACACAGGAGATGGACAGTACATGAATCCCAAGCTTTCAAGATCATGCAAACCCCTGCAACTCTGTGTTAGCCTTCATGTCTTTAGGAAGTTACTGATGGATGCTCAAATGGAGTTAATGGTGGGGTGCAGTGATAGGAAGAACATATGGTACAAAACTATGGAAAGAAATAGTATTTCTATTAACTCTAATAGTTTAAGTAACTGAACCAAGGATGCTTTAATTTCCTTCTCCTACTCTAGCTGGTCCAAAAGGTATATCTCTCCATCAAAGTCCTCAAAAAGACCTCAGATGTTACACAGTGCTTATTTATCTCCTTGTTCACTTATGTCTCATAAACACTCTGCGAGCCGGCCAGGACAAGGGCCAATTTTATCATTTCAGTGACGACCAAAGACATAATGTGTTCTGTGTCTTATGCAGGGCCATGCAGCTAATAAGTGAAACAAGCTGTTGAGAGAACCCGCTTTTGAGGGAGTAACCTTATGACAAAGTCACTCAGTAAATGTGAGGTGCTGACAAGGAAGGTGTATATGAGAGAGACGCTGTTATGAGTCAGCATTCTCTGACTTTATTCCCTAGTTAATCAAACTATGGAAACAACTGAAAGAAAATCCTAAAACTCAAGCCTTAGCTGCAAGTGTTAAGTTTTTATGGCACTGTTTCCTCTGCTTCCCCTCACTACCTTGTCATAAAAGTAGGTCATGTCACTCTGTCACATCCTGGAATGAAAGAGACTATGGCCTCGGGACTAGAAGATTAGAAAATCCATTCACACAGCAGTCAGAGGCCAGTTGGTTAATAATGGGTAAACATCCTGAAATATCACCAGACACGCATGCATGCTGGGTGAGGGGCCCTAAGCTAGTGAGTGTCTTTGTCACCAAGCATGATTTATATTTTTCCAGTTCTACTGACTTTTGATAGCACCCTGTTCTGAGATGTGACAAACTTTGCCATTGAAATGACATCTTGGATAAACTATATTTTTCCTGGGAGTTCAAAAATGCTTGATCATACTTTCAAATCTATAAACCCAGTGGGAGTTGGTAAGTTTGTGTGGCTCACATTCAAGTGTTTCATTTATTTTCAAAGCCAGGCATAAAAGAAAGGGCAAATGCGACTGTGCCATTCAACATGTGAAAAGAGCACAAATTCCAGGTCTCCTGGTGCATGACTGCATTGACCCTTCCTACCCAGGGGTTCTTCATACCTGGCTTCAAACAAATGTATTCAAAATATTTTGGGGAAAAAATCATAGCTGTAGTAAACATGTACAGATTTTTTGGTCATTGTTTTCTAAATACAATTTAACAATTATTTTCATAGCATTTACATAGTATTAGGTATTATACATTATCTAGAGATAATTTAAGGTATACTGGGGGTATGCATAAATTACATGCAAATACTATACCATTTTATATCAAAGACTGGCATATCTGTGAATTTTGGTATCTGCAGGAGGCCTTGGAATCAATCTTCCACAGATACTGAGAGATGAATGTACATTGGATAGTATCACAAAAGGACCAGAGAACAAGGAAAAGGTGCTTTCTCTAATATCATTCTTCATCTGATTGGTGCAAGGTGTTGATTAATATGTAGAATGATTCTAGGTCCAGCAGCACATATAGTCCTTGTGGGACTGACCTCAGGGAAAGAAAGTCACTGAGGCGTAAACAAATGAGAGTTATATTTCATCAGAAAAACATGTGGGAAGGTGTCAGGTCTGAACCATGGGTCTCTGGCCACACCCAAGAAAGACAATGTTGCATCCTGCCTGCCAGGCTGACCTGCACTAGGCTTTGGGTGCCTAGTGAGGAGGTGCCTAAAAAGAGCACAAAAAGGGGATGTAGGCACTGCAGAGACACAGCTTGTCTGTTTCACAACTCTGCTTATGGCAGGTGTATGCTAATTACCCAGTGTTCCCTAAACAAGTAGAGATCCCTTGCCCATGTGACCCTCAGAAAATGTAGCCATCTTATATCCTGGAAGTGTTTGACATTATGGAGTAGGAGCTCAATTAATTCATATTCAACAAATTACTCTTTGGAGAAGAACCTACCATTCCCAAATGATTTTAATCAGTGATAAATTGAGGTGTTTAGTAGCATTCATCTAACAGAACCAGTATAAAACAAAACCAAACACATAAAAACAAAAACATAGATTTAATTACTATTACTGCAAGGTGACCTCAAAATTGCAAATGATGAGGTCAGTAGATCCCAGAAGGATCATTTAAAAAGGTAATACAGAGATTTCTGTTTCTAGCTAAAATATTATAGCATATGGCTGATCAAAGTTCCAGGCAAGAACAACTTGAAATTCTATCTAAAATTATTTTTTAAATCCTTATTAAAAGTATTGGAGAGCTACTGATGAGAGCTAGAACTGGAGAAGTTGAGATCTCAGAGAAAAGAACTGCAGAAGGGTGACCTGAGAATCAGTGACAACTACTCTTGGCTTGGATAAAGTAGATGATAATCCCAGTGGAGAAACACACCTAAGGGCAAAGAAACTTACGCAGCTTTTGGTAATCTTACAGTGCTAAAGAAACAAAAATTGGGATTTAGGTCTGCAAATGTACCCACAACTAATGGTCAAATTTCCAGAGTAGAGAGGCACAGAGAAGTAAGCCAGATACTCTGTAATATTTCTGCTAAGTTCTTAAACCACAGAAGACAAGAGAATATGTTAGGTAGAAAGCCCTTGAAAATCACAGAGGAGGTTTTTGGCAGTCTCACCATGCTAAGGAGACAAAAATCAGCATGCCTCACCAAAGAAGACGACACACAGTAAATGCCTCAGCTCTACATCCTAGGATGAGACGGGGATAGTATAAAGCTAATACAAACTGCAATTCCAGTTTGGATGAGTTTTGTCCTTGACTCAATCACGGCAATCTGTACCCACTTAGGCAGCACAACAAAAGATAGGGAAAACTTTCATAAGAGAGAAATAGGGCCAAATAGAGCCTTTGTAATTTTTATGTACGTTGTTCACCATTGAATTAATATTTATCAAGTAGACTAATAAAAAAGACCAAAGAGAAAACAGATGGTAGAAACTGATCCATAGATAACACACTTATAGCACAATTATTTTAGTTATCAGATATGAACTGAAAATAGTTATGATTACTGTGTTCATGAAAATAAATGGCAATATATAGAGATCTGGAATCTTTTAAAAATAAGCTTCATAAATTCTCATACTAAAAAATGCAGTAATTAAAATAAAGAACTGCTAAAGGAAGGGGATTTTCTACAACTAAATATGAATTTTTAACAGTTGATTGGACCCAAAAGATAAAAGAGAAAATTTGAAAATTAGATCAAGAGAAAATATCCACATTGAAGTATGAAGAGCAAAGAAGATGAAAAATTCAGAAAAGAATATAATATTTTTCTAATTATTATGGACACAATAAAAAGTGCTATTATGCAGTTAGAGTCTCAAAGTAGTGTAGAGAGAGAGAACAGGGAAGAAGTAGTATTTGAAGAGATAATGACTGAAAATGTTCTAAAACTGATGAAGATATCAGCAATAAACAGATTCAACAAATGCTATAAAATACCAAGCAGGAAAAATATACAAAGAAAATCTACACATAGGAACATCATAATAGAAATTCTAAAAACAAAAGAGAAAGAGACAACCTTAAAAGCAGGCAGTTGAGAGAGAGAAAAGAAAGCAAGCTTTCAAAGAAACAATAATAAGACAGACATCATCTCAACAGAAACGATGAAAACCAAAACATAAAGAAAATAACTGCCAACCTGTGATTTTATACCTAGCAAAAATATCCTACAAAAGTGACTGTGAAATGAAAGCATTGACAATAAATAAAAAAGAAACAACAGAGAGAATTCTTTGCCAAGTTCCATGACAAAAGGAATACTAGCCAGAGCTATTTAGGCAATAGAAAAAGGATCCCAAAGACAACAGAAATAAAGGAAGAAATGAAGAACAACAGTAAGGGTCAACACAGGCAAGATGTAGAACAGAAGGTAAAGCTCAGTTTTAAGAGTCTTAAGTTTAAATTCCTTAATTTGCAGAATGGCAAACTAGTATACAAGTAAGAATAACTGGTTCTAATGTAAGAAACTGGTGAAAGCCTGTGACTCTGAATGATGGTAAAAGATTCATTTCCTTAAGTATTTTTTAAAACCTCCATCGTACATCTGATGCTGATTTGAGTACTACTGAGTGGATTTTTAAATGCAATAACTAACAGTAAAAAATAAGAATTTACCTGTTGAAAGAAAGGGGCTTTTTTACAAATAAATATGAATTTATAATTATCTCAAAATTAAAAATTTAATTTAAAACATAGTAAGAAACAGGAGACAGCATTGTGTCAATCATTTTATGTAATCATTTCTTTCTAATGTTATAAAAATCATTATTTGTGGCTTGGAATAAAACTTAGAAGGATGGCCAGGTGCTGCAGTGGTACACACCTGTAGACCCAGCTACTTGGGAGCCTGAGGCAAGAGGATGACTTGAGCCCAAGAGCTCAAGGCTGTAGTGTGCTAGGATAGCATTTCTGAATAGCCACTGTACTCCAGCCTGAGCAACATAATGAGACCTCATCGCTTACAAAAAAAATTCCAAGGACAATGTCATATATATGGGTTTAAAATGTGCCATGCTCAACTTTGATAGCAATGAAGAATTGCCCTGATAAACAGTGTGAGATGAAGTAAAAAGTCACTTTAATATTGAAAAAGAACTTGATGTCAAAGATGAATTACGAGGAATTTGAATAAATGTGTTTCATACACTGTGACAGATATTTCTATATTATGTAAAACATTACTCTTCAAATACATGTATAATTAAATCAGCAAAACAAGTATCCATAAATTACTAAGTCTTGGCTATAATTATAAAGGTTTCCTATTTAAGTTAGTCAAAAAAATTTGTTTTCATCTTCTTGGAAATTGGGAAAATTGCTTGATATTTTTCATGACCTTATATTCGTGTATACGTGGTAAAACATAGCCCACCATTTCCTACATTTCAATAGTTTACTTGGCTTTCCTGAGAATCTTATTAAAGAAAAACACTTGGATCCTCTGGGAAATTGCTCTTTTAAGAGAAATAATGAAGAAGTCTAGAATTTTCTTTTGTAGCCCTATAAGAATCACTAATAAACACAGTGTGACAGCTTTTTAGATTTAACACTACGTTGAGTAAATGTACTCACAGTTGATTGGTTAGTAGTCTCTAACTTCCCCCAAAGGGCACTGAATTCTAGCCAGAGTATTTTCTTTCACAGAAGAGCATGCCGAACAGCTGAGCTCATGGCGGCAGAGGCTGAGCTCATGGTGCAGTCTGGCAGCATCTACAGGACCTCTTCTTGCAGGAGACAGAGGGCCCTCTGCTGGACATGCTCAGAGCCTAATGAGCGAACTTTCTGTGGGGAGCCAACTCTGAGCATCATGAGACCAACGTACAGGGTGGCCTGCCCAGTGTGTGCCTTCTTCTGGCTTGGGTTTCCATAAAGCCTCAGCCTTTGAAAAGATTATACAAGGTGCTTCCGAGAGAGATAATGGTGTCTGGTGTATTTTTGAGAAGAAGCAAAGAGAGAAGAAATTCTTAGAGAGGACTGAGGTCTGAGGGTCCCAGGTAGCATCCTGTGGCAATGGCAGCATCTTGGAGAGAAACCGCTGACTTCTGAATGAGTGACAACCCAGCTAAGGCTTATGCCCCAAATGTAACAAGAAGCTGCAGAGCTGAAGAAACTTTGAAGAGGATGTCAGTGGGGACCACTGCAAACAGAGGATCAAGGCAAGAGGGGATTCCTGGAAACCAAAGGCCTGATGTCAATGGTGACCAGATCCCCAGAAATAATGGAAACAGAATTTCTCACCAGGCATGGTGTTTGCTTACAATTTGCATATTATTTCAGGGGATTGAAAGCCTTTCCTTTCCCCTCATAACAGCCATCTTCAAATCCCAGGTTAAGGATGTATGCTCTGTACAAAATTCTTTCTGTTTGATCTGTTTTTTTCTTTACATCTCGATCTCCCTCTTTTCCCTTTTTCAATTAAATATCACTTATTCAGGGCCTGACAAGAAATTTTAATAATAATAGCTATAATTCTTTTAAAAGTACCTTCCATGTGTCAACACCTTTTATATATTGATGCTTAAACAGTAATTATGCTAGCAGGTAGGTATTATTATCCTGCTATTTTTAGATGAGGAAATTGAGACTCCAAAAGGTTATTTTAAGTTCGGAACTCATAAGATCAAAACCAGATTCAAATCACAGCTGACTGGCTCTAGCGAGGTGTTTCTCCAACGCCGCTGCACATTAGAATCACCTGAAGATGTCTACCAGTGGCTGAGTTGTCCCCACACCAATTAAATCCAAATCACTGGAGCTTGTTTTCTTAAACTCCCCAGGTTACTCAAATGTGTAGCAGGAGACCTTATGCTGAGAACTACTGTCTAAAACCCTCTGTGTCTGTTGTATCACCTGACTTCAAGACGGATAAGTATGTCCTGAAGAGACATTAACAAACCTTGCATGATTTTGGAGGTGCTGGAAGAGGGGCCACCCTGGATGTTATATGCTCCGTCTTGTGTGAAGGATGCCCTCAAGTGCTCATTTGTATGCTTTGATGGTAATGTGAGTATTAACTACTGTGAGAATTGATGAGGCAGTGAGAGTGAAGGACTTGGCCAGAAAGCAGTCAGTCCTGATGGAGGCTGTGCAAACGCCAGTGAAGGTAGCACTCATGTGAACACGGATGGCAGCCTCAGATCTGACCCCCTCTACCCACTCCAACTGGGCTTGTCACAACCCGAGTCCCACAGGCCAAAAGATGAACCAAGGGTGTGCCTTTGTCAAGACCATAAAATTATCCAAGTGAGGTCCTGTTACTTGGTGCCTCCTTTGCAGCCACAGGTCAAGAATTAAGAGGGTTAGCAGTAGGGTGTGAGGGCTAAAAGCAGGTGATGGGAAGTGCCGCTAGACCCCGGCTGAATCCTGCCTCTAGCGCTTACCAGCTGTGTGATTTGGAATCACTTTCCTAGTCTCTTGCATGCCAAAGTTTCTAAGACTAGGAAACTTATTTTCCTCCTTATAAAATGGAGATAATAGGAAATTTAGAAGAATTCAATGAGGCTTATAAGCACTTAGTATAGTGCCCAGCCAAAGTATCCAGTAATGTTAATGATTCCTTTTACAAATAACAATCGCCAGGCACTGACTATCAACACTGAGGCTCCAACACTGTCTGTCCGCATCACTCAAACTCTAATTTAGAAGATGGGTAATAGCAAGAGATTCATGCCTCAGGCCTCATGCTTATGCAGAAACACCCAGTAATACAAAGAAGCCGAGCCAGTGGAGTTACAAGTGGGCTGATGGCCATCTAAGTGTGTCAACTTGCAAGGAAGGACAGTTTGAGGTAAGACAGATTTACTACTGAGGTCTGCACCTCAAAGAGAATTCAGAATCTCAGACACTTCTCACTCATAACACTAAGTTTTCCCATGAGAATAACAGAATATTAGTACTAAGTAGAATCTTTGCAATTAAATTATACAAAATCTTCAATATAAAATTAAAGAAACCAAAGCCAAGAGATCAAAGAGCTGGGCTGAGTCTTCACATCAGTAAGCTGTACCCCAGGAGTGGAACGTGGGCTTCCTGAGCTCAGGATCAACACTCTTTCTGCAACACCCCACTGTACTTTACAAAGTATGTGAATAACTGATTAGAATTGACTGTGCTAATCACCGTGTTCATTCTGACCACTGGAAATGTGTTACCTAGGTACCAAAATACAAAGAACAATCTAATGATGTATTTAGAAAATTTAGAACTCCGAATTTAGAGATTAAGGCCCAGACAAGGTTATGCCCCTGGCCAGCTGGGGAATCACTTGGCTCCTTTGACATTTTCTATCCTTGAAGACAGAAGGTGGCAAACTTCTTCTGTAAAGGGCCAGACAGTAATTATTAAATACTTAGGCTTGGCAGGCTGTACCATATGGTCTCTGCTCCAACTACTCAACTCTGTTGTTGGGGCAGCAAAGTAGCCACAGACAACACCTAAAGGAATTAAAATGGCTATGTTCCAGTAAAACTTTATTTATGGACACTTGGATTTCATATAATTTTCACACGGCCTTCATATTATTCTTTAAAAAATGTTTTTTTGTTTTCAATCATTGAAAAATGTAAAAACCATTCTTAGTTTGCCAACTATACAGAAACAGGGGGTGGGCCTGATTTGGTCCTCAGGCTATAGCTTGCCATCCTTTACTCTAGAATGAGCTTATCGATATCTGCTCTGTGTCACCATCTATGAAATGTTTTACAAGAAAATATCAAATATATTAATTACACGAGGATAAGGAAGCCTGGTTTGAGTGTAGTTTGAAAAAATAAAAAGATCTAGAGATTTTAGATTTTTATACATATGTCATGCGAACAAAGAACATAAAGTAGATATTGGAAGTGAACGTAGTCCTAGACTGCTTTAAGAGGAAAATAGCATCCAGGTTGTAAGAACTTCCCCAGTGTGATCTATATAACTTATGTTTATCCAAACAGCCAATCTTAAGGAGACTACTAACAAATTTAGTAGTACACCTTGGAGGGAAGTTGAGATGTTGAGAGGTAAAACTGTATTTTTACTAAGAACAGCTGCAAGAAGGAAGGGGGTGTTTGAAAGATGAGGAAGGATGAGACTTATGCAGAGAGCAGAGCCATGAAAAGGAGGTAGATGTCAGCTCAACAAATAAAATAGCTTCCTAAGAGCTGGATCGTCCAACAGTGTGAGTGATGAGCTCTTACACAGTGTGATGAGGTCTCAACTGGGAGCATTCAACAAGCAGCTGGCGGACCCCTTGGCAGGGATGTAGTATAGATGTTAGCATTGCCTGGGAGAGGAGGTCAGCTAGATGACCTTAAGGAGGGTTTTCTTTTCTTTTCTCTCTTTCTTTCTTTTTTTGGGGGTTGCTTTAAACTTCTGAGTCTATAAAATGAGTTAATGGATACAAAGCGCTTTGAAGATTTGGCTGCCCTACAAGTCTTTGCACTGGCATGCGTCCTGTGCAAAGATGGAGAACATCTCCCAGTGCTGTTAAGCAGAGACTTGCAGTGGAGACTCTGGGATCCTTCACAGACCCTCTCGTGTCTACAGTCCTGGAGAACAGTAAAAAGGTTCTCAGCCTTCCCATTTCCTATTCGAACCAGCCTCACCACTGGCACTCCAGGCTCACTCCCAGAGAGAGGGCCTCAAGGGAGAGTTTAAGCATGAGCCTGTGGCCAGTCCTGGAAGAGGGGCAAACTGCCTCCCCTGGTTCTGGCCTCAAGCTTAGTTTGATCCTGCATTGGGGCCAAACAAGGGGTACTGGGAAGGGCTATCAGGGAAGAGAAGGGTCACTTACAAAATAGCTTATTATTCAAGGGTAGATCATAGGAAGGAAAGGGGGAAGGAAGGAAAGCCCAGAGCAGGATGTTGCTCCCCCAGCCTTCCTCCCAGACACTCTCAGCGCTGGGGCCTGAGGCGAGAGGAGGGCTTCACTCTCGGCCCTGGGTTGCCCAGCCCGGACAGAGCTATTTCCTCAGACAGGAACCAACTTTGGGGGTTTAAATGAAAAGAACTGAGCAGCACCTTACCCTTCTCGTTCATCATCCGTGTTGTAATACACCTGTGGAGAACAATAGGCTTACTGTAGGTCAGAGACAACAACCAGAAATATGTCACGTGAAGTACAGACTGTCCTGAGGCAGAAACTCTCTTTAAAAAGACAAATCTGTTTAATGAAGCTGCGTGTGTGTGTATGTGTGTGTGTGTGTGTGTGTGTGTTCCTAAGGAAATGCAAATCTACTCCTCTCAATCTCTGTGGGGTTATGAAGGAAAACTACAGATTGGTTATTTCTAGCTAAGGTTAGTCTGATCAGATTCTCTCCGGCCCTAAGTCACGTCTTGCTTTTGACATTAAGGAAACATTTTGGCAGGATGGAAAACCCATTGCTTAGAAGGCTCTGGCTTGCCCGGTGGCTCTTAGCCTGTGAGTAGCACGTCCCATTGGGTCCACAGGGAGCAGAGTCTGGATGCTGTGTTACCAGGGAGCGGAAAGGCATGAAGGTCTCACACCAGGACAAGAGCAACCCCAGGCTTCTCTGCTTACTTCCCAAAGGGGCCTGGGTTATCCTGGCACCCCACAACCACAGGTATCTACAGCTCAGCTGTCTTCAGGCTGTGAAAGGTCATTTAGCTCTGGGAGATGTTCCTGGCCAGGAAGGCAGATCTCTGGGGGGCAGAGTTTTCCTTTAGGTGGTCAGCCTGGTGGCAGGCAGAATCAGATCAAAGAAGTTACGAAGCAAACTGATTATCTTATGGAACTATGGGAGAAATCCAGAAGGGATCTGCTATGTGTGAACATCCTCTTGGCCTAATTATTTCTAAACATGAGTTGAGAGCCTTGTGAGTTTTCTCTGTGCTTCAGGACCATTTGCATTGGGGTAGAGAACATCTGAGCCAGTAGGAGACATTTACATTCTAACTTCAAAGTGGACTCTGAGTCTAGCCACTGTCCTCACCCCAGCCTGGAAGAGAAACAGCTGTGTCCAGACAACCTCCCCAGAAACTTTCTCAAAGGCTCATGGCAGCACCTGGGACGCTGCCAAGCATAGACCTACTTATATAACAGAACTGGTTACCTGGAACTCTCTGGGCATGAGTCATTCTAGTCTAGCAGCTCATATTTCTACAGGAACTTTTTTTCTTGTAATTTTTTTCATGGCTGTTGTTCTATACTTTATTTTTTTCTTAAACCAAAAACAATGGAAGAAAGTTGTTTTTTGTTTTCTGCCACCCCCTCCTCCAACAAGTTTCAGTGTGGAATTCAGAGCATCTGTCTGAGACTCTCCACTTAGAAGATGTGGAGTGACCCACATAAGGAAGGGAGGCTGGGCTGTGCCACTGGCCATGCATCTGGATCGTTTTGCAAAGTCCCTGATGTTGGCTTGTGTCTTTCCCTGTTTCTTTAGCGGTGGCACAATGCGTCTACCCCCCTTCTTGACTCTTTGGCCTCTGCAAAGTTGGTTGGTGACCCAAAGACAGAAGCAGACTTCTCTGAAGTGTTTTCTTGCCCTCCTGAATGGCTGCCACTTCCCTGTCACCTTCCTTTCTTTGTCATTTATCCTCCTCTTACATAAAGTCCCACTGTTTCTTCTTTGTCAGCTGTTGGGCCCATTGCACTGCCTTAAATTTTAGAGCATGTTTTTCGAACTTTAAAGTTCATAAAAATATCTGGAGACTTTATCATGCATGCAAATTCCTAGAGCTTGCTTCAGAGATTTTAATTTGAAAGACCTAGTCTAGAACTTGGGAATCTGAATCCTTATCAAAAACTAGTGTGATATGGGGGAAGATTGTTTACAAGCCACAATGCAAAAGACTGTTCTTGAGAACAGTGTCCTCCTTGGGTACTTTGAGGAAGGTTGGTACCTATCAAATATATATTATCCAACAAGATGGTCCCTCTGCATCCCACAGTTTTTCCCAACCCCCCCCCCCCCATCCCATGTGCATTCCTGGCACAAACAGTCTGATCATTAGGACTTCAACATGAAAAAAAAAAAACCCTCGAGAGCACCCGCACATTGGATTATTCCCTTGTATTAGTTTTTGGTAAATGTTTAAAGAATATTACAATCTTCAGGCAAATCAATGGCATAATGGGAGGAGTGGGGGACATGTGGACCAGCGGGGAAAATACCCACCCAAGGACACCCCTGGGCCATGTCCTTGGGTGAATAGGAATGCTGAGCCATCGCTGATGTGCCTTCAGTGTAGCTCAGGAGAATCTCACTGACCGTGAGAACTACAAGGTTTCTGGTCCTGCAGTTGTGCAGAGCTATAATGCAGCTGATTTTGGCAAGACTCAGGCCCCTGTTGTTTCTGACCTACATACGATTGCGTGCCTTTCTTCCCTTCTCTTCCCACTCTCTTAAGATGAACCAGCCCTATCCTTTGACCCGCCATTGAAAGGTCTTGTTTTATAGGGTTTAGTTGGCCAATTCCTGGCCCACCTCCACTTTGAAGACTATGCATCTGCCTCTTCTCTCCTGCCTTTAAAAGCCCCAGGGAGACAATGCCCAAGCTTTTAGCTAAGCTGACTCCCATGGCCAAATGCAGATTTATTACCTCATCAATATACTTTTTTTTTTTAACTTTTTTATTTGTTTTCTTAAGTGACTATGTCTGTATCTGTCACCAGGTTGGAGAGAAGTGGCATAATCAGTTTACTGCAACCTCCAACTTCCAGGCTTAAGTGATACTCTTGCTTCAGCCTCCTTAGTAGCTAGGACTACAGGGATGCACCACTACAACCAGCTATTTTAAAAAATTATTTTCTGGGCAGTGCTTGTGGCTCAAGGAGTAGGGTGCTAGTCACATATACCAGGGGTGGTGGGTTCAAGCCTGGCCCTGGCCAAAAACTACAAAAAACCCCCAATGTTGGAGAGGTGTTCTAGCAGCCCTCTTAAAAGATTGTTGTCTCATAAGCTCAAGATTCCTCATTTACACACACTCACTAACTCAAAGCATCTGTGTAGGCCCTTTTGCATCAATCCTGTTGGACCTGAAGTGCAAGGGAAACTGATGTAAACATTAAGCTTCTGCAGCTTACTGTGTTATTGGTAACAAAGTTCTTTAGCTCTGACCCAGGAGTCTCATGTCTTCCTCCAGCATCCATGAAATTCTTATAGACTAAATTGTTAGCTTATATATCAGTAAAACCTTGAGCCTTTCACAATTCTTGATGGCAGCATGGTACAAGTGAAAACAACAAAATAATATCAATAGCCTTTGTTATTATTTTGATCAGCCACAAGGTGTTCTCGGGTTGTTGGAGGGCACAGCTGAGTGTGTCCCTTTGTTGCAGGAGCTCACGGAAGGCTTTCTCACTAACCCCCTCAACTCTGAATCCAGAGGATTCTTCCCCCGGGGGAAGCCTGAGGGCTCTGTGAGGCTGGCCTGCAGAAAGTAAGATGTAACTTCATTGACGGCCCAGGGACACTTTTTGGGCTGCTTTGCAACTGCTGAAACCAACCCTTTAAAGGCAGCACCTTGCCTCTGAATTTGCCTCAGGCTGAGAGCCAGGATCACGACATCCAGGGGTCCAGAGAGGCCAGAAGACTGACTGTCACAAGCAGCCAGGTTTGTCACGTTTCCTCTTAAGATTCATTTACAGCTTTGAACATTCTGGAGAAATCTTGCCAAGTGAGCAGGTTATGTTGTCAGTGTTGACACAGAGCTGAAGCCATAACCGTGACAGTGAACTAAACAATAAGGACAGTCTAACTCAGTTATCTCCACTTCTGAAAGGAAACCTCAATCCAAAAAATCCTCACACAAATCACCATGGTGTTCGTGGGAATTAAATAAAAATTAGGCGCTGGCAAGCGTATCTTGATAAATGATAAAATTCTTCCATTCCCCTTTGTGTCCTTGGTCATATCGAACAAGTAAGACAAGATGGAAATGCTAAATTAAGATTTAGTGAAAACATATTCTAAGAAAAATCTATGGGTATTTTATTACCATGTCTTGTCATAAATAGCAACAAAAAAGCCCCGATTGTATAACTGCTTGTCTCATACATATAAGGAAACAATGTCTGAATCCTGGGGGACAAAACAGCCTCCAGAAAAAGAGAGCCAATATTGATTCCTCTGTCTAGGCAAAGGTCAATTCCAGTGAGTGCCTGCATACTTAGACAGAAAGTGAGAAAAAGTTAAATGTGTTAGTATGTTCCTATTTCTCAAAATAGATGTTTCCTCAAAGGACTTTGGATTTAAAAAAACCCTAATCAATGAAAAATTCATTTAAACACAATGGGTTTAGTGAAAGACAATTCTGGCTCATGCTAGGGAAATAATTATTTTTTCTTTTATCACACAATTTTAATTTATTATGTAAAAGAGATAATACTAAAGACAAAAGGAAAATAATCATCTCTATCTCATTTTTTGTTGTTCCCTTCAAATTCAGTTAAATTTTTAGGATCACAGTATAAACAAAAATTGCTGTTCTACTTCACAATTAAAATGTTAGCAGTGGAATAATAGTCTATCAACTTGATACATAGTTTTTTCATAGTTAACTTTTTAGTGACTGAAAAATAGTCTATCAACTTGAGCTACCATGATGAGTTAATCATCATCAATTATTAAAATTGGACACAATTATTAATTTGACACTTATATGAGTTGAATATTAGATTTTTCATTTCACTTATCGATATGCCTAGAAAATAGGGATTACTTTTAAGGGGATTTGTCTACAATCCCATTTTTCCTCTTATGTGAAATGACTTACCTATTCAGTGGGAACAGTTCCTTTACTAGAGGAAAATTTGTTGATGGGATTTTATTTAATTGAAGAATTTTTCACCTTATGCAACTTTATGGAGTCATAGGTGCAGTTTACCTTCCCACCAGTAGGTGGCGCTCCATTGCATCAGGATAATTCTACCATGTCATAGCTAACAAAACAAACTTTTTCTTACAGGTTACCAGCCTTCTTACTGTCTTCCTCTTTCATTGCTTTGTCAGCACTTCAATAATATCATGTCACTCTCTTCTCCCCCTTAGTAAGTCAGTTTCCTCTTTGGAAACATTCCTTTTCATAAAAATTCATTTACTGTGAAGAATAAATGACTTTTCCTCTGGTGAATGGAAGATGGGTTTTATTTTTAACAACACTACCTGAAGTGCATCTGTCTTAAGGCCACACCACCCCTGGGATAGGGGTGCTTTTTATGGCAAGTGGATGTTAGCAGGTAGGTCCTACCTGTCCAGTCCTTTGCAGGTTTGCAAAATGAACGTCAGGTATGAAGAGAACAGGCTGGGAGTGTAGATCAGGCATGGTTTTGAAGAAGGTGATGTCACTCTTCTTCTGGAGAGGTATGGCAGCCAGCTTCCCATCAGAGGCTGGATGAGATCACAAACTCATAAACAAGAGGGGTATATATGGCTAAGAAGCCTCAACTATAAGTCCTAGTGTCAGCTAAAATTCACGAATTTCTTCTATTAAGCTTTCTGAATATCATAGATGGGAACGCGTTTTGATAGCTCGCCCCATCCTAGCCAAACCAACAGAAAGAGCATGGACTTCGAGTGAGCATTCTTGAGTGGGGCTTAGGTCCCCTCATGCCCTCCCGTCCCTCTGTGCACCCAAGATACCTTGTCTGTAGAAGGAAGATGTTGGTCTCCATGATATTAAGCTAGGAAGTGCTAGCTCAAACACACCACGTGCATGATTGTGTTTGCTTTTTATAGGGATAATCACCCTGTCTCCAGTGCCAGGAGAAAGCAAGCCGTGCCCCACACCCATTTCTTCCCACCTATTCCCCACTGGGCCCAACACACCTGAGTCTTCCCCTCTGAAAGCAAAGTCAGTCTCAATGAAACTCACAGTTATTGCATTGGGTTTGAGAGGCCTGGCCTTTCCCTTTCTTTCTGTTCTGCTTCCTCTCTTCGTCTCGGATTTTTCTTTCTGCTCCCTGTCAGGGGAAAAAACAGATACAGACAAAGCCGGGCATGTTTGTTATCAATGTACGCAAAAATACTGTCAAACACACAAGTCATGCAGATGTGACACAACACAGGGGAAGAGGAGACCAGGCAGCCCCACCTCGTCCCTCCGGTACGGTCAAGCTTCAGTTCCAAAAGCCGAGGCCACTCATGAGTCTCTACTACATTTCTGTCCTGCAAGAGATCTCCACCTCTCCCAGGTTTTCTCCTTTTTTAGTATCTGGTCTATTTAAAGAACTTCAGTTTTGAACCCATATGGAAAGAACAGACCCAGTTCCCTAACCTGGTGAAACCCATTAAGTAACTTTACTGATTATAATAAAATGTCAGAAGATGAAGCATTGGCCCATTAAATTTATTCCTAGGCATGAAGAGGGCTTTAAAGTTGAGTGTGAATTCTCTATAAAATTTTTCCTTTGCTTGTTGCTATGGGAATTTAAAAAATCATTACGGTGGTGGAAATGAGGGCACGCATAAAGAAACCACACAAGATGTAGGATTGCTTTTTACGCATTCGAGTATGATTTTTTTTTGTTTCAGTATTTTCGTGTGTCCTTAGATACATTGCTCATTCGAATATTTGTTCTATTCAACTCCTCTATTCCTCATAATTTGACTTTTTTATTTGGCTTCTCCTTCCAAACTGTCAAATCCCATTGTGCTTATTAAACAATTGACCCCTACCTGATAGCTCTTTTCTTGGTGGCTTGGGATGATTTCCTAACTGTGTTTTTCTTTGGGCATTCTTCCACGTCAGCTTTGCTAACTCATTTTCCTCTTCTCATCTTCCAAATAAAAACATTCCAACACAGTGTCCTTTCCCTTTCTCTCTCTCCCTTCTTGCTGCTGGACAATTCATCTGCATCCATGTTTTCACAACACTCTAGAGCACTGACATTCAGATGGACACCCCCAACCTAAACTTCTCTAAGTTTCAGATTGGTGTTGACAGCTCTTGCCCATTGCATAGCATAGTTAAGGAGCAGTGAAGTGCAGACTGGCCGGCAGCCTCTAACACTTTAGAAATCGTTCAATATAAAAACATAAAAATATAAAAATTAACAATATAAAAATTTTATCCTTCTCTATATGAAAACAAAACCATCAATTAAAAGGCAAAGGACAAATTGCTAGAAATACTCACAATAAAATATCACATAAAATGCTAAATCTTTTGGGCAGTGCCTGTGGCTCAAAGGAGTAGGGCGCCGGCCCCATGTGCCGGAGGTGGTGGGTTCAAACCCAGCCCCAGCCAAAAACTGCAAAAAAAAAAAAAAAAAAAGCTAAATCTTTAACATATAAAAAGGATTTAAATTAAAAAAACAACTGACATACTATTAGAAAAATGGGCAAAGGTCATCAAATAGGTAATTCTCAGAAAAAGACACATTGGTGGTTTGAATTAAAACAATGAGATGTATTGTTTTGCTTATCAAATTGCCTTTTTTTAAGCAGTAGATTCCCAATCCTGGCTATGGTGAGGTCATGGCACACTGAGGTAGTTAGTGATCAATGAAGGTATTGCACAAGAGATAGTGTTTACGCTAATTCCAGAAGAATGAGCAATAATAGCTAATTTACATGGCAGTTACTCTGTGCTGAGGGATTTCTAGAGCTTTATATATTAGAATTTTGATGGTTGTAATACTAAAATTTTAATGGGAGTAATTATTTTATACTACTTCACTTAAAGTTTTGAGTTGTCATCGATCATGGAAATAGGGAAATAAAATATAAAAATACCTGCCAAGTCGCTTCAAGATATATTAAAGATTCATACAGGTTTTTTTTTTTTTTGGTCTAGAAAACATATAAAGTGTTCATTGAATAGATATCACCTTGTTCAAATAGACGTGAGATTTAAAAAAGGCTCTTTCACAATGCTGAAGTCGGTATTAGGAACTATATTTTTTTTTTGGATATTTATGTATAAGGCATTTTTCTATGTGTTTGGAGCATTGTACAAGATAGCATTTAATATAAATAAAATTTAGATCTTTATTATCTACTTAAATAAATTACAACTGGCCCAAAACACATCCTAAATTTGGTAAAGCAATTTTCTATCTGAGTTAATATTTTATTTTATACTATTCCTGTGAGGAAAAGGACTAGAATTAATTTGTTTCAAGATTTATACACAGGCATACCTTGGAGACATTGCGGGCTTGGTTCCACACCACCACAATAAAGTGAATATAGCAATAAAGAAAGTCACACCAATTTCTTCAGAATGGTAAATGAGCACTCCAGCTACAGGAGTCCCTAACAAGAAAGTCTGCCTGACCTTTGAGGGTTTGAAACCAGCATTCACTTATAAGTCCTAAATGGCCACTTCTTCCAATATAAGGTTGTTCATATACATTAAAAATCTGTAGTGTAGTACCATGCTGGGGGCAGGGGGAGGGATCATAAAGTAAACTTAAAAATAATTATAAAAATTAAAAACAAAATCTGTTGTTCAGTGTAGCCACTTTGATGGGTTCTCTTAGCTAGATCTTCCAGACAACTTGCAGAAGCTTCTCCATCAGCACTTTCTGCTTCACCTTGCACTTTGAAGCAGTGGAGATGACTTCCTTCCTTCAAACTCCTGAACCAACCTCTGCTAGCCTCCAACTTTTCTTCTGCAGCTTCCTTCCCTCTCTCAGCCTTCACAGATTTGAAGAGCGTTAGGGCTTTGCTCTAGATTAGGCTTTGGCTTATAGGAAGGTTGTGGCTGGCTTGGTCTTTTAACTAGACCTCTACAATTTTTTATTTTCTTATCCTTCATGGTTCACTGGAGTAATATGTTTAATTTCCTTCAGAAACTTTTCCTTTGCATTCAGGAGGTGGCTGTTTGGTGAAAGAGGCCTAACTTTGGGCCCATCTGAGCTTTAACCTGCCCACCTGGCTAAGCTTCATTCTTTCTAGCTTTTGAGTTAACGTGAAAGACGTGCAACTCTTCCTTTCACTTAAACACTTAGAGGCCTTTGTAGGGCTATTAATTGGCTTGATTTCAATTTTGTTGTTTTTCAGGGAACAGGAGGAGGCCTGAGGAAGAAACAGTGAGATCCAGGGGAACAGTCAACTAGTGGAGGGGTGAGAACACACGCAGCTTTCATCAGTTAAGTTCTGTGCCTCATAGGAGCATGGCTGCTGGGTCCCCACTGTGACATCAAAGATCCCTGATTATAGAACACCATGACAGATATAATAATAGTGAAAAAATTAGAAATATTGTGGTAAGGACCAAAATGTAACACAGAGACATGAAGTGACCACATGCTGTTGGAAAAAATGGCACCAATAGACTTGTTAGACATCAGGTTGCCACAAGCCTTCAATCTGTAAAAAACACATTATCTGCAAAATGCAATAAGGCAAAGTCTCATAAAATGAATATATGTATATGTTCAGTGTAGATAGTTAGGAAAGTCACTTAATTATTATACTTTCAGCCACTCTCTGATATGCCAAACCTAAAGGATGAGCTTAAAACAGAGCAGGTCTCTATAAAGTATAGCCTTGGTGGTGGCACTTCAAAAGAAGTTTTGTGGCCTGAATGCCCAGGTATCAGCCTAACAAAACAATTCTGATAGGATTCAGAATTCTTGAAATTCAGAATTCTTGAAAGAACCATAGTTCTTATTTCTATGATAAAGCTTTTGAAAACAATAAAATAAAATAAAAAATATTTTGGATTCACAATGACCATGGGAGCTTTGATGTATTCAATTAAGGTGGAGCAAGTTTCCCTTGAACAAGACTTCCAAGAATTTCTTTCCTCTTTTCTATGATTATTATGACTTGAAGATTCTAGAAAATATTCTTTCTACACTTAGAAAAGTGCAAAAAAACCTTATTGTTCCAAAAAAGTGTAATTTACTTACAAATACCACATTTATCGGTTGGAAATAATTTTCCCCACTTAAATGTTCACTATAGGGTGATAAGTTTGCAAAATTTATCTGAAGGTTCCTACCTGTGTCTTGCCATGTCCTGAGAGGTGATGCATTTATTTAGGTGATCTTTATTTTTGATTTCACACTTAAATAGTTTCTCTTAAACTTATTTTTAAAATGTGGCTCTATCTCTCAATTTTTCTTCAATATGTAGTTATTTTTTGCAATAATACAAAATCTTCATGGAAGATTATGCAAGTAATTAAATATAGCTATAAAGATATACACAGAGATATTTATATAGGTAGATACATCTACAGGGGTCCTGAATTTTTAAGTGTGTAAACATGCATTTCAATAGAAGTATCATAATACCACAAAAATTAGAAAAGGCCTTTATTTTCATATGCAATCAGTCTCAAGGTTTATTAATTAGAAATTAAGCTGGAGAGCTATAAATAGCGCAGAATTCCATCTGTTTAAGACTCTAGACTATAATTAGGAGATTCACAGCTTTAAAATGGAATAGTTCAACTCTTTTGCTTTAAGAGATAATTTAAATTAAGCATTTGCATTTACATATCCACTTGAAAAGCACAAAAATCAAACGTCTATTTCTCTTCGTAACCTTCCAGGTGTGAGTTTTGCCTGGGTTTGGAAATTAAAGCTGCCAACATGTTGACAAATTACAGCAAAAAATTTTGCATCTCGCTTATTAGAGAAACTATAGTTCCTTGGAATAAATGCCAATCGTTTCCTATTTTTTTCCACCTAGCACTGATATTTACGAGACTGATATTAAAATCAGAGCTGTTGGAAATGCCACCTATTTTCTGATCGGCAAAGTGTTTGTCAACATGATTCTTTCTAGTGTTTATATGTATTGGCAAACAAGTAAGTGGGTCTCCCAACCATGACTTTCCTTGCTACAGATTACCTTCTTAGCATGACTTCAGGAAGCAAGTCTTTGAAGAAACCCATTCGATCATCTTTTTTGTCCTCTCCCTTTTGGAGATTAATGTGAATGAAATGTACAAAAGATATTTTCAAACAAAAGGTATAATCAATCATTTTATTTACTCTCTTAG